TCGCAAACAGAACACACATTCACTCTTTGGTGGAGGGAAGAAGGAAATCGTGGGGCTCCACCACTTTTAAGCCAGTCTAAGTGCGCTGAATTTCTGTTCTGTTATGGGTATAGATCAGTTTCCAATCACCTACACTAGTAAAAGTGTAATGTCTGCACCTGGCCTCATACTATCTCTGTTGTAACTCCTTAAGCTTGACTTAGTGGGGCTGTCCAGCCTAGATCTGGAAGCTCCTGAACTTCCAGGCGTAAGGCTGATACTCCTACCTGTTATATCCTAGCCCACCTTCTTTTGCAGAAGTAATTTAGGGGTAAATGTTCTATATTAAATTACCTGTCAGCTGAGCTATCAAGTGAATTGAAACAGCTTTTTATTATACAGTGGTCCATGGTTAATGCTACAAGTTTTAGTAAATTTCACTTCAGAGGTATAGAGAAGAAAAAAGCATTTTTAACCACAAAAACCAGCTAAACAATAACTTTCAGATACATTTCCCTTCTCTGGAACACTGCCTTGTGGGAATTGTAGTTTGGAGGCCTCCATTCTTTTGTACAGGCCAACATCTCTGTCTCCTACAAATCCTATGCAGTCTCCCCCCAGAGAAAGCGCCACGGCACCTCAATAGTCACAGGTTCGTCTTCAAAATTCATGGATTCTGTGACCTCTGGGACTACCAAAATAAAACTGTAGTTTTACTCAAGGTAAAAATGAAACAAAATACTGGTTTCAAACTGGTGTCACAGAGAGAGAATCATTACTGCAGGTACTGCTGTATATGACACCTTCAACTGCAGTTTAATCATAGTAGCAAAGGTTGTGCTGAATGAGAATGGCAGACAGACTCTTAGTTTGTTCTAGGTTGAAACATATTGCTATAAAGCAGGGGGAAACACACAAGTGTCCCTGCCATGCCAGGCTTACTATGTGATTAGAGGACTTCCATTTTGATTGCTGTCACTGTTTCCTTTTATGAAAAGCACCTTCCATTTAAAAGAAAAGATAAAAACAGCCTGACTTAAGAAGTCAAGAAGCTGTCAAGGGAAAATTCGACTTGTTTGAGATGCATAACGATATGAAGTATAACTGTGGTAAACAAAAATGCTAACCAATCCTGCATGGATACGAAGGAAAAAATATTGACAGCAAAAGAGATATTAGCCAAGCAGTAGTGCTGGGAAACAATAGAAGAATCTTTTAGTATATTAAAAGCAACAGGTCAATGAGGGAAGGCAATGAATTGCTAGAGAACAGTGGAAAGAATTCACCACAGGAACCAGGTATTGCAGAAAAAAATTAAAGAAGTTCTTTATCTTAGTGCTCACCAGGGAAACTAAGTAAGATGCCAAAAATGGAAACGTGTGGGGGAAGACAATGAAAAACAAAAGGCATTAGCTATCACTCCAGAACAAATCTCATGTAATTTAAAATCAATAAAAGACAGACAGAGCCCTAAGGCCAGATGGGTTACATCTCAGGATGCTGAGTGAAATGGCAGATGACATTTATGGTCCAACATGAGTTATTTTTTAATAGTATCCTTTAAAGAGAGCGAGGTAACAATGGACAGGAAAGGTACAAACATAATATTCTTTAGGGAGGTAGCTATGGGTAGCCAAGAAACTGTATCTGGTCTCCCTGGCAGGCAAGAACCCCAACACAAAGCAATTAGACAATTATGACTTGAATATTAATAGCCAGCAGAAATGCTTAAGGGGTAAATCTCATCAGTTAGCATTTTTAAGGGTGATATTACCACAAAGAAACAGGCAGGAACTGCTTGAATTTAATCAGGGTGTTTAGCATAGTAAACCACAGCACTTTATTAATGAAAGCACAATGCTCTTGAACAAACACATTGGCAAATGCATGGATTACAAGGGTTAATCACTGAAGATAATTTTGATAATTACTTAAGTATCTATGTTAACTGGCTCATTCCCAGAATTCGCCTGCCTCTTACTAGCCTGCTTTACCATAGTGTGTGCGTCTCACCCTCCTTCCCTTCAGGTACCTTCATCATTCAGTACAGTCTGTGGCCTCAATGCCCTTCACTCGATTACCCCATATTCCTGTATCAATCAAACTTTACTACGCCATGTTACAATCTTGTAATTTCTCAAAATTTATGCAGGGCTGGGCTAGCTCAATATTTGCAAATGGTTTCCATGGAGAAAAGCTGCAGATGCTGAGTAAATAAAGCACCAAGGTCACATGGCCCAGTGCTGCTGGGGACGTTGACTTTCTGAGGAGATAAAAAAAACAGGATCCTAATAATTTTGGTGGGTTTTAACTATTGAATGGTCCTCCTCTCATGACCATGGATATTAAGCCTTGCTATTCTGGTCAAATTCCACTTTACCAACCTTTCATAGTATCATAGTACTTAGGGTCAGAAGGGACCTAAACAGATTATCAGGTCTGACCCCCTGCCCAGGCAGGAACGGGTGCCGGGATCATATCACCCCAGCCAAATATTTGTCCAGCCTCCTTTCAAAGACCCCCAAGGTAGGAGACAGCACCACCTCACTTGGAGCCTATTCCAGAGCCTGGCAGCCCTAACTGTAAAGTAATGTCTCCTCTCTCTCTTTCAAAGCTCTTAATTGCAGTTTCACTTCTTGTCCTAAATATCTACCATATTTACCCAAATCCAAGATATGGGTATCCAATTAAAAAAATATGACCAGGGACAGAAGCAGCAGGAACAGCAGTATGCAGATTCTTCTTTCCAGTGTCTGCTCCCCACCACTGAGATGGATGGTGTGGGGGAGCTGGGCAGGGAGAAGGCACTGTAAGAAGGAACCTATGTACTACTGATGCTGTCCCCAGCTCAGCCAGGTTCCCCATATTGCCACTCTCAACAGCTCCCAGTTGGAGTTGTCTGATGCTTGATTCTAAGATAGGGCTTTGTTTTCCCTACATTGAATGTGTGTTGTGCATTGTTAAAGCAACTGCCATGTTCCACACCAGAACTGGCTGCATTTTAGATTCCTACACACTGGGTGCAAATTAAATCATCTTAATAATCTCTGGCACAGTTTGCACCACAGTTGGCTGCTCCTAGGTGTAACATTTACATGTACACCTAAGACTGCAGCGGTTTGAGCTGGAATGGAGCAGCTCTGAGCTGGCAGCACACTCAGGGGGTCAGACCCAGGCTCCAAGTTGTAGTGTCAAGCAGTAGAGGGGGCTAGCTAGGGTAGAAGAGTGCTGAAAAAGTAGAGCCATTTAGCAAGGTGGCAGGCAGGGGTCTGGCCCCCTGCTGTCTGGATTGACCAGGTGTTATTTACATCCAGGTCAGCATTTACACATGTGTTTTAGGCACAGTTGTTTTCACCACCATAAGATAGAAGTGTCCCCGACAGTACTATCTTATGGCGGTGAAAACTAAGGTTGCTGGGGTCTAATGGTGTTGCACATATAGACAGTGATGCTTTATACAACAGCAAATTAGTCTACTGCCCAGTTAAGTGCATGTGGAGATGCACCAACTTGTACTATATCCTCCAGAATGAAAGCTGTAATATATGAATTGTAAATTTAGGGGATGATGATGAAGACCTTTATGTTCTCTGTCCTGTGATGTTCACTACTTTTCTCTCCCTTTCTTTGTATTGTTTTCCCTCCCTTGTTACTCTTCTTGGTTCTGTGCTTTGTTCAGTAGCTCATGGGGAGTAACAGTTGATTAAACCCTGATCTCTAATGTGGTCTGTGTCAGACTTCAAGAGATCAGGATTTTATATATTTTACTTCTCTACCAGCACATTTTAAGAAAGCAACGAGGGTCAGAGGAGAACCCAGTGTTTAGGGAAGTAAGCAAAATCAGGCAGAAAGCGTGGAAATCTGCGATAGAAGAAAAACATTCAATTAACTTCCCTGGTACACACGTGATAGTAACTAGCTCCAGGCTACTGGAGATATTTCAGACACTTACAGGGAGGAAGATAACAAGTGCACTGTAATGACTGGCACAAAAAATAATCTTTCCTCCTTGGCAATGGCTCCATTAACTAACCTTTATATAAGTCCCAAGCTCCCTAGTCAGCATAGCTTTACTTCAGAACAGATAAACACATCTCATAGAGTGGTGTTAGAGCTGTTTGGTATCATGCCAAGGTATTGCTCATTTTCTGATATTTCTGTCTGAAAAAAAGTAATGGCCCTGATTATAGTTAAAAAACATAACATTCATAGGTTACCTGAAGTATCAGGATGGTAAAGGCTGGGAGCATTGGTTATTTCTCCTGGCTGATGGAGACAGCTACCTGAGGACCTTTGACTTGCAATCAGAATCCTACTTTTCGTAGAGGGCAGCCTGGAAACAGCACCCAGTCCTAACTGTGGTTTAAGTATCATGGCAGATCGATAAAAACTTGGTGGCACCTCATAGTGACCATATGGTGGAGAACAAAATTCTTCTTTCACAGGCCTTTCCCCAACCTGAGGAGAAATAATTAAAACAGATATCACTACAATGTATTCACAAGATTAGGAAACAGGGGACTCTCAGTTGTTTCTGAGGGCTGTGCTACATAAGTTTTCTTTTCCCTGGCTTCTGGTTTAGGATCAATTTGGAGATTTCAAAACAGGACAATCTGACTACTTGGATTCATGAAATACAAAATCCATTTGCAACCCATCTAAATACCCATCCACAGCTGACTTTTGCTTTTGAAAACTCCCTCCAGGGATGAAAATGAATGAAACTATTAACAGTTAAAAGGTGAATCTCCTTGGTTATTTAAGGCAACGGTGTCAAGAAATATTACACGAAGCATTCCTACTTGGACAATAAAGGAGGGATCTATTTTTTAAGGAAAAAAATACTCCAGCAAAATTCTGTGGGCAAGAAAGTTAGCTTTTATTATAAAAATGTGAACTTAATTTTTAACCATGATAAATGAAACAAATATAAAGTCAAGTTGAAAACTTTTGTCCCATTTCATCAGAAAATGTCTCATCTGAAACTATCATATTCAAATTACTCATAATGGTGAGTACATCAAACAAAATTGACCTTTATTTGTTCACAAAAGGATCTCGACTTCTAGGAACGTATCTTTTATTCATAAACGTTTGCCAAATTTCTTGTGTGGGAAACCTTCACCATATGGGTTGATACCAAATTGTTCAGTTTGGTTTCGTTATTTATTACTGGGGAAAATCCAATGGAGTGGGGGTGCAGTTGCTCCTGTGCAATGAGTTCTTTGGCTTGTCAGTGCAGGCTCTTGGCCAGAAGTGTTGTTTGGCTGAAAAGACCCATCCTCCTCCAGGATCCACCCATGTTTATCATAAATATGTGTAATCTAAGCCAGAAGGTACTGCTTCTGCTCCCTGACTGAATGACTAACATTTCTGAAAGCAGGGAAAAGTTCTGGACAAAGATACATTTCAATTCATGAAACTTTCAGGATCCACTTCCAAATAAACTAACTACTGTCTGAATTCACACAAGTGATAAATGGCACGTCCTCACAAACACAATTTCTCCATATTAAGGACCTGAATCTGCAACGGTCTACGTAAGTGCTAGCTTTACATACATGAAAAGGTATACCTTTCATACCTCTCAGGTCACATGCCGCTTTCCACAACTGCAGGGAAAAGAATAAAGCAATGGGCTTTCACTTCTTGCTAGTTTGTACTGTGTGCAGTTCTGGGCCCCAAGCATTAAGAAGGATGGGGAGAAGTTAGACAGGATCCAGAAGCGGGTGACAAAAATGTTAAAAGGCCTGGAAACAATGCCCTACAAGGAAAGGTTGAGAGAACTGGGTATGCTTAGTTTGGAGGAAAGGAGATTAATAGTGGACATGATAACAGCTTTCAGTATCTGAAAGGCTATCATAAAGAAGTGGGAGAACAACTGTGCTACCTTTGTGCAGAAGGCAGGACACAAAGCAATGGCTTTAAATTGTGCAATGTAGATTTAGATTAGATTTCAGAAAAAATGTTCTTAGGTCCCTGGAAGACATTCACCTATAATCGGTAAAGATCTTGTGAGGGAACAGCTTGAGAGGCTGGACATCCACAAGTCAGCTGGCCCAGCTGGAATGCACCCAAGAGTGCTAAATGAATTGGCTGACATCAGTAGCATGACCAATGGCAAGTATTTTGAGAACTTGTGGTGCTCCAGAGAGGTTCATGAAGATTGGAAGAGGGCCAATGTGGTGCTGATCTTCAAGAAGGGAAGGAAGACACAGGGAACTACAGGCCAATCAGTTTGACCTCAGTCTCTGGAAAGATCTTGGAAAAAATCATCAAAGAAACCATCAACAACAGGCTAACAGAAGGCAACATTCTGAGAAACAGCCAACATGGCTTCATTGCAGGTAGGTCTTGCCTGACCAAGCTCATTTCTTTCCATGACCAGGTGATGCATCACCTGGACAAAGGAGAAGAGGTTGATGTCATATATTTAGATTTCAAAAAAGTCTTTGACTTGGTCCCCCATGATGTCTTCCTGAAAGCACCTACTCCGGATACCTTTAAGAAAATTGGGAAGCTGCAGTCTCGACAACCTTACAGTTAATGGCCGGGGAACTGGCTCCGTGGCCAGACCCAGAGAGTGATAGTCAACGGATCCGAGTCAGCATGGCGTATTGTGTCCAGTGGCATCCCCCATGGCTCAGTACTCAGACCAGTAGTCTTTAACATATTCATAAATTATCTGGATTCAGGTGTCAGAAGCAGACAGGCTAAGTTTGCAGATGACATAAATTATGGGGAAGTGTGGTCACGCTAGAGGATAGGCTGGCAATTCAGGCTGACTTGGACAGGCTCACAAGGTGGGTGGATCAAAACCTGATGACATTCAACACAGAGAAATAAAAGGTGCTACACCTCTGGAGAAAAAACCCACATCATACTTACAGGCTTAGCAGTGCTGCACTCACTAGCACCATGACCGAAAGAGACTTGGGGGTCATGATTGACCACAAGATGAACATGAGACACCAATGCACCACAAAAACCAAGCAAATAAAGCTCTGGCTTGCATCTACTGATGCATCTCAAGCAAGACCCAAGAAGTCATCCTCTCACTTTACTTGGCTTTGGTAAGGCCACAGCCGGAGTACTGCATCCAGTTCTGGGCTCCACACTTTAGAAAGGATATGGAAAAGCTCGAGAGAGTCCAGAGGAGAGCCACATTCATTATTAGGGCATAGGTGACTTGTAGGGGGGGCAAGGGGTAGCACACGCCCCCCTGAAATTGGCCACCACTGAAGCTGCTGTTGGTTTCTGCATGTGGTCACCGCCCACACCTGCCCTCCCCCCCACACTTGCTGTTTGCCAGTGACACTGCTGGTGATGGCTGTGAGTGGTCTCACTCACTGCTGACAACACTGCAGGTGGCAGCTGTGGGCAGTTCCAGCTCACCACCATGATGCCCCCCTAGTCGCGGGAAGCACCAGTCATTCATGATTAGAGGTCAAGAGAAAAGGCCTTATGAGGAGAGGCTGAGAGGCATGGGACTCTTCAACCTGGAGAACTGAAGGCTCAGGGGTGACTTGGTGGCCGCCTATAAGTATATAAGTGGTGTGCATCAGGAACTGGGAAAATGTCTGTTCACCATGGCACCCCAAGGGAAGACAAGGTCTAATGGTCACAATTTGCTGGAAGACCATTTTAGACTGGACATAAGGAAAAACTTCTTTACTGTCTGAGACTCCAGAGTCTGGAATAGACTCCCCCTGCAGAAGTAGTGCAAGCACCTACTCTGGATACCTTTAAGAAATGCGTAGATGCTTATCTTGCTGGAGTGATATGACCCCAGCTGCCTTCCTGCCCCTTGGGTAGGGGGCTGGACCCGATGATCTCGTGAGGTCCTTTCCAGCCCTAATGTCTATGAAATCTAGGAACCAATTAATCATGTCTTAAGTAGTAAATCAGCCACATATTCATGCAATTAATAGCACAATAAAATAGGGAATAAGCCACAAAGTTATTACACGAATATATGCAATAACTTAGTGGCTGGTTCCTATGATGCCTTAAATTGACCCTGTGGCCAGTGCTGATTAGCTGATTGGTGCTCTCAGCCTTGCGGGTGTACTAAAGCTCATCAAGGCTCTGGTGTGCTCCCATAGCTGGGACTGCTAGTCAGCTGATCACAGCTCCCAGCCACAGAGGTGCACCAGAATCTTAGAATCATTGAATCGGGGAAAATTAGGTTTGGAAGGGACCTCAGGAAGTTATCTTATCCAAGCCTCTGCTCAAAGCAGTACCATCCCCAACTAGATCATCCCAGGCAAGGCTTTGTTTAGTTGGGTCTTAAAAACCTCCAAGGACAGAGACTGCACAACCTCTCTGGGTAACTTGTTCAAGTGTTTTACTACCCTCCTAGTGAGAATATTGTTCCCCTAATATTTAACCTAAACTTCCCTTGCTGCAACTTAAGACCGCTGTTCCTTGGTCTCTTATCTGCCACCACTGCGAACAGTCTAGCTCCATCCCCTTCTATCAAATCCCCTGTCAGTCTTCTCCAGACTAGTTCCCTCAGGCTTTCCTCAGAAGTCAAGTGCCCCAGTCTTCTAATCATTTTTGTTGCCCTCTGTTGGACTCTCTCCAATATGTCCACATCCTTTCTGTAGTGAGGGGCACGAAACTGGACATAGCACTCCAGGTGTGGCCTCACCACTGCTGAACAGAGAGAAATAATCACTTCCCTCAATCTGCTGAGAATACTCCTGCTAATACAGCCCAGTATGCCATTAGCTTTCTTTGCAACAAGGGCACACTGTTGGCTCAGGTTCAGCTTGCTGTCCACTGTAACCCCCAGGTCCTTTTCTGCAGAGCTGCTGCTTAGCCAGTCAGTCCCATCTGTATGGGTGCATGGGACTGTCCTGTCCTAAGTGCCAGATTTTGCACTTCTTATTGAACTTCAAGGGCTCCAGTGCACTCCTCTGTTCTCTTGGGCACATCAGGTACCTGACTTGGTAGTCCAGGGGAGTCTGGGGATCATGATCCTGGGTTCATATGGCACCAGCAATAGGGCACAATTGGAATCTGATCCCTGAGCCCACAGTTCCTGCCATGTATGTGTGACATAGCATGAGGTATGATTATTAGTATTGGGGATCAGATCCTGTTGTGTCTTTAACTGAATGTGTCAGTGGGCTTACTGGTAGAACAGTGAGGCACTGAAATAGACTGCCCAGGGAATATATGGAATCTCCTTCACTGGAGGTTTTCAAGAGGAAACTAGATAAGCATTGGAAAGGGATGATTTAGGAACATCATTCTTGTTTTGGTGCAAGGGATTGGACCAGATGACCCTAGAGATCCCTTCTAACACTACGATTCTGTACTCCTGATTAACACTGTGGGTTCGAGTCCAACTTCAATACAGACTTTCCTTTCTAATGTAAATCATAATTCTATTACAGAATCTAAGATGTTCCACAGTATCCCATTTAGGTCTCGAAAAAAATGGCTTGAAAAAAATCAGTGAATTTATTTAAAAAAATAATCAAAAAAGTGCCATAGGCTACCTATGCAGAAGCACATTTTCTGATTAATTAACTCTGCTATAAATTACAGTGTATTTAGTATTAGGAAAGATATTCAAGCCAATATCTTTTTAGCGAGTATAACCATTTAGACAATGCACTTGAACAGTGGCTATTGGAGCTTTGATCCTGGCAGGTTCATCAGCTATAATCCTAATTTGGCACATCTTTAATAGGACAAGGGATATAAAATTGGCTTTAAAGATTTACTGAAATGAGTTTAGAATCTTTAAGCTTTTTCATATTTTACACTGAAACTTGGATAGCAAGATAGATACTTTAGATACTGAACATTTTATCTTGCTCTTTATTTTTCATTATAAATGTAAGCCTGCTTTCCAGAAGTAACTCTTTAATGCCAATTTTTCTTTTTACTTTATGTGTGTCCTATTTTTCATATTTTAAGATCCAGCTTTTTATTGTTTACATCTGATTCTTTCTGATCTACTTGCAAGAACTTACTGAAGTAAATTATCTTCATTTTTCAAAATTAATCAGTGTCCTAGTTTTAAGGCAATTTTTGGATATGAAATTATTTTCATGAATAAGATTTGGTTATCTTCTCCCCAATGAACATATTCAAATCGGATTTTGTTATACACTTCCTATCATCATCCTTGCAGCTGGCAGACAACACACCAATAATGGATTCTTAAACACAAGCAACAGAGGAATAATTCATATACAGAGGACATGCATTTTTAATAAACTGGGCTAGTCTACCCACAGTTTCAGAGTATTTATTTTTATTGACTGTGCTCTCTAGGTAATACAGCAGGACAACAAACAAACAAACATATAAAAATGATCATAAATATTAAATGTTTCCTTGGACTGAAGGAATCAATAATTACATAATTATTTCTCAGCTAATATAGCATATCCTTTTTTATTTTAAAGAAAATTGCCCATTTTCAAGTGAAAATACTTGGTATTTTAAATTGACTTTTTATGATTTGCTCTTCAGGACACAGGTACAAGTATAATGTGGTTTGTATTGAGGGACAATGCTAATTTAAGTACATTAGCTCATTGAGAATGAGATTTAGGAAAAATACATACTTTTTTGGAACAGGACCCTGAAATTTAGTAGGAGGGTTACCTCACATAACGAGATCACAGAGGGAGACTTGGCTTGGGATGTGCAGATGATGTGAGTGGAAGAGAAGCAGGATGGGGATGGAGACAGGCTGGAGAGGATGTGGTCAGAGAGGACATGGGCTAGAGCACACTTGCCTCCAGAACACAGGATGAAACCAAATAACCATGATACTGATGGGCAGAGTGTCACATCCCTCTACAGTAACTGGTCTGCATAAATTATGACTTTCTGTTACTATTGCTTAGGTGGCTGAGATATATTTGCAGCTAGACCTGATGGTTCCAACCCCACTGATGAATCATGCAAGGGTCAATATGCTACCATGTGATGCGTTTTTTTTTCCTTCCTATTTGCTTTCTTAAAAAAGCAACTAGGACATTACACATAAAACCCAGTATTAATAGAAGGTCACTAAGGCCCCTATCACATGTTGCATATATTATGTAGTTAACTGGTTAGTTTTGTAATAATTTTAGACTGGCCACACATGCAAAGTAATTATCACACCATACAGACATCCATCCAGCTGAGGAGCCAACCAGCTACAAAGTTAGTGCTTGAAAATGGGTAACAACTTTAAAGCTGGTTTATATCCAGCTTTAATTTGAATGTGTGGCAAGGCCATATGGTCACAAAGCTGGGGACATAAAAATTAGGAAATGCCAGAATGATGGCTGCTGGTCTAACCTTAATTCAGCCCCTATTATTTATGTATTATTATGGTGTTCAATTATATGATTACACAATAGTTATATAGATATATACACATAGCTTCAAGAACAGCTATAACCATAATACAGCCACTTCAGAATGAACCAAACATAAATATTTTCTTAAACAGTATAAAATATCTTACAGCAACTAAGAACATCAACAGCTATCAACATATCTGCTTTTCTGTTCATCCAAACTAAGTCTTCCAGCCCAAGTGCATGTCACCAGTTCCTGCTGAATATTCTGGTCAGTTCTTTGAAGGAGAAAATGCTTCTATTTAAGGGAAAATTCCTGACCATTTTTCAAAGCTGTTCCTTCTACAAGCTCCCCTGGTTCCCCTAAATCAGTGGTGCTCAGACTTCTGACCTTCTAAGCCAGATGAGGTTGGTTGGTTTGCAGGCCCTATCCAGCATGCACTTGACACACAGGGTCAGTCCATGGGTGTGATCTGACATGCCACCATGGCCTAACACTGAATGTGGTTATGGACCAACTTTGGAAACTGCAGCAATTAATGCTGCTGCTCTCCCACCACCAAATTTTCAGACTCATGGGGAGCCCTGTGGGCCAGATTACACAGCCATGTAAACCAGATTTGGCCCATAAACCAGAGATTAAGCACCATAGCCATATATATTAAGGTGTGTCTTTTTATTTCCCCAGTCCCCTGTGTATCAGTGGTGCTCAACCAAGTACTTGTATACTGATGGAAAAGATCTTAGCAGACCATTGATGTTAAGAACAACATAAGAACATAAGAGCTTCTACCCTGGGTCAGGCCAAAGTTCCACCTAGACCAGTCTTCTATTTCTATTTCCAACAAAGATGAGATACTGTAGGGATGAGTAAAAGACAGGTGGAGGATTAACATCTTCCAAGTGACCAACAATTTTCTATGAAAATGACAGTATCATTGCCAGGAGTAGTTAATAAAATGTATTTAGAACAAGTACAAACACCCTGATTTAGCTATTATGATTTTGAGTTCAAGGTTTCTTGAACAAATAAACAAACAAACAATATTATCAACCTCTTTTGTACAGCCACTGGCTGTCATCATCTTACCTCTTGTAAAAACTTTTCACTCATGGGGCCAAAATGATGCCCTGGGGGCCTAATGCCAGATACCACCAGTCCTGACCCAAAGATCCTTGGCTTCTGCAAGTCAGGCTTAAACTTGTCATACAAAATATTAGGTGGTTTAATATCCCCACCAGTCGATGTTTTCTGTTCCTTTGCCATAGGCATACCGCAGGCCGGAGAACCATATGACAGGGTGGTTGGGGCAAAAGAAGGGTCGAGCTGGTTGATTGACTGAGGGTTTCTTCTAATGTAGGTGATAATTTTGGGTCTCACATGTTTGGGCTTAGGTATGACAGGGGTTATCTCAATATTTTCTTCAGGCTTTTCAATGCAGTCACTCTCTACATCATTCTTGTCTGTAAAGGAGCCCTTGGAATGTACCAGGATTGGTTTGGGGATCCCACTGTTGCAAGCAGTCTTGATAGGCACTTTAGGGGATATATTTAACAACTGTGAATCATCAATGGGAGGTAGGACTGAGGAGGGTGACAGTTTGTCAACATGAAGTGCATAAAGATCCTTCAAATTACTATTTGATATAGTGGGCTGATTATCAATATGCACAGTTGCCACTGGGCGCAAGGGAGTTGGAACACATAAAAAGGCATCAGCCTTTGCTGAAATTTTATAGCTCTCTGGTGCTTCATCTGAAAGATGTTTCTTTGCAATAACTGTCTTTTTATTCTGAATTGAAAAGCTCACTGTTTCCAAATCACCGTCCTGGTTGTTAGGATGCTCATTTGACACTCTCTCTGTACTAAGCACTCGGTGTTGATCTGTGAAATCAGAAGCAGACAGCCTGGTGTTGTCAATGTTTCCTTTGACTAGCATCAGTTTATTCTCATTAATTTTCAAGGTTTTGCTGTCAGGTAGATTAATGTTTTGTATAAAAGATATATGCTCACCAACTGTTCCAATGCAACTTGTGTCAGCTTCATGTAAGCTTTTGTTTTTTGCAGACACGACTTTGCCACTGGGTTTGCTGTCATCAGGAAGAGATAATAAAGTTTCCACTTCTTTGTTTGTTATATGCTCCTCAGTGACTTGATTAGTTGCTCTACTGTCATTAGCAGTGATTCCTCCTCCTAACTGAGGGCAGGTGATATGATCACTTAGAAGTCTGTCATTGGAGTAAGCTATCACTGGGTTTAAGTGTGGATCCTCTGCCTCTCTACAAAAGTCTTGAAACTGGGAAGCCTGCATCTTGGACACTTCATCCCCAGGCCCTTTCTTTTCTTGCATTAATGTACTTTCTTTTTTTCGACATCCTAGAAATTCTACTAGCATAATTCTCTCAATTTTCTGCTGGCAAATATTTTTAGACTGTAAAGATGGTGCTGTTTTAAACTCCAATTTTCTACTTTTATCACCCCGACTTAATTGTGCTTCTGGCTTACTAGAAATTTCACTGGGTTTAACAGTTATGTTTAGAGCTGCATCAACAGCTTGCAGTGTGTTTTCACTGTTCACATTTGGTATGTTATCCACATCCATTTGGATTTCTGGCTTATTTAATTTTTTGTTTTCTGAGGTAGACGGTTTAGAATAAAACACAATATTTTCCTCTGAGGTATTGTCAAGTGGATGAAAAACCATACCTAGAAAATGATCTGCTGATGTTTTCTGTGATTTCTCAGTATTACCAGTCAAATGGTGTGATGTATCAATGGAATCCAGTGATGCAGAAAGCAAACGTTTGTGAGACACACGTCCAGCACATTCTTTTGCAGAAGTTTCAGTTTTAGCAGAAAATTTACTTGGCCTTCCCAAAGAAAGCCTCTTTATTCCCTCAACCTCAATGGCCTTGACCATTTTGCCCTTAGATAAATACTGGGTAAATTCAGCATCACCTTTTGAAAGAATCTCTGTGTTGCTATCATTTGCACTGCTCTTTAAATTAGACAGACTTTGTCCTCGGCTAATACAGAGATGCCTTGAAGTAACCTTAGCTTCATCCATCTTACAATCTTTATCCAATTTCTTACTTACAGCAGAAGGCTGCCTATGCTCTTGTATATTAATGTCACAAATCTGAGATTCTTTAAAGACAAGAAGTTTATTCTGCTCTGCATCCAATTGTGTCAGCTTCTCTGACCCATCAGTATGCACACTTCCAGTTTCACCTCTCAAACCACATCTCCTGCCCTCGCCTTCTGTGGTTCTGACTTTTGTCACAATCTGATTAGCATTGGTATCTCCTACATTTACTATGCTTTCATTGTTATTTTTTATTTCAATTCTGTTGTCCTGTTCCTGGGTGTAGCATGCCTTGTTTGGAACCACTGGTGCACTCATTTTGAAAATTTGGGTTACTGTTGTTGTGGCAGTCTTTTTTAATGAGAAAGTTTTTTCTTCTATCAATTTAACTATTATGCATGCTTCAGTTAGGGGTTTAAAATAAAAACTGAACAGCAGAAAATTCTTTCTCCAAGTGTTTAAAGTCTTATGTCAGATTCACATTGTTGTGCTGCTCAATTGTTTTCAACATCGCTTCTTGACCCAAGAAATCTTTATGACATAAAGCAGAGAAGTTTAATGGAAGCGTAATAGATCTGTTAGGTTCCCTCTGAATGAGAGTCAGTTAATCCATTGAACCTGTAAGGAAAAAGAAACACAGAACAGTGTGACATGAGTGGTACTTAAAAAACCCCATGAATATTAACTAAAACTAAAATCATGTTAAAATCAGCAGAGCTCACAGCCGTATGAACTACAGTTGATTACAGTGATTTGTAAAGTTTCAATCACCGTTCATAACAAACATTTATAACTTAAGGTCTGGTTTACACTAAAAAAAGCTACTGCCCTAATTGTGTTGCTGAGGAGAGTCATTTTTAATCAATATAGTTTTACTAGTTTAAATTAATTAGTTTAATTAATATAGTTTTCACTACTACCCTAGTACGGATGCAGTTAGATCAATATAAAATTGTCTCGTACCAATATAGGTTTTATTGTTTCCCCACACGTACAGGATTAATGCGTACTGATACTAGCCTTTCATGGTACAATTCCGTCCATTCTTGGGGGAGCGGGTGGGGGGAGGTGGGGTATAGAGGGTATGGGTGGGAGGTTGCTCCTTATCTGTAATGGTGCGCTTAAGCAGCAAAACTTCCTAGCATCAAGAAAGTCTAAGGAATACAATTCTGGCTACTTCAAGGAAAGTTTATTTTCTCTTCTTCCTCTAAACCACAGTCTTATGTACATTAAATCTGCTTGTGTGCTAACTGGTTGGCACAGCTAGCAGAAAAAGATACATTTTTTTGCTATTTCCTAGTTGGTCTAATACAAGGTATAATTTTTTAACCAAGAGTTCTAGATTTTTGCATTTCTTGGGCTCACAACACTTTTTTTGGTGGAGGCTTGTACAGATGAACTGTGGCTTGCTAATATACAATGGCATATGCACATGCACATCTGCAGGGGTCCACATACTGGTGATAGTGCATTCTAGTATTCCAGAGCTCGCCCTGGAGAACCCTAGAAAGCAAACCTTCCCTCACTTTTGTTTTGGAGTTAAATAAGGAAGCACATTCTCTCCCATTTACAACAGCTGGCTAAGGAGGTTAAGGACAACAAGAAGAGGTTCTATAAGAATGCTGGCCAGAGAAGAAGGACTAAGGAAGCTATGGATCCTCTGTTAACAAGCTAGGGGAAACTCCTAACTGAAGATACAAAGAAGGTGGAGCTACTGAAAAACTAGTCTCAGTCTTCACTAAATAATTAAACTGCCAGACACGTAATAGGGACTATCTGGATAAGGAAGGGGACAAGATAAGGGAGGAGATAACAAAAGAGATGGTCAGAGAGCTTTTGTTGGATCTGAATGAATTCCAGTCAGCAGGGCCGGATGAGCTTCATCCCAGGGTCCTGAAAGAACTGGCAGAGGAGGTCTCAGAGCCCTGGGCAAGGATCTTTATGAAGTTGTAGGAGATGCACCAGGTACCAGAGGACTGGAAAAGGGCCAGTATATTGCTCCTGTTTAAAAAAGGGCAAGAAGGAGTACTCAGGGAACTACAGTCCGGTTAGCCTCACACTAATTCTTAGGAAGTTACTGGAGCATATCCTAAGAAAGGACATTTGCAAGCATCTGGATAAGGAAAGGCTGATCGCAAGCAGCCACCATGGATTTATGAAAAACAAATTGTGTCAAACAAACCTGATCACCTTCTTTGACAAAGTAACTACTTGGGTGGATGAAGGAAATGCTGTGGATATCGTGTATCAGGACTTCAGCACGGCTTTTGACAAGGTCCTGCATGAACTTTTAATTTAAAAAAAAATGGCGAAATGTGGACTGGATAAAACTACTACAAGGTGGATAGATAAGTGGCTCAATAGCTGTAAGCAAAGGTTAATTATTAATGGGTCCATGTCAGAATGGCAGGAGGTTTTGAGTGAAGTCCCACAGGGGTCTGTCCTGAGCCCAGTGCTGTTCAACATGTTTATTAATGATTTGGATGCTGACATAGAAAGCTTCTTGAGCACGTTTGCAGATGAAAAAACTGGGAAGGATTGTGACCATGCTGGAAGCTGCAAATGCAGTTCAGAAGGATCTGGTAAGTTGAGCTAAAACTAACATGATGAGGTTCAATATGGACAAATGCAAGGTGCTACACGTAGGGAAGAATAATCACAAACAAAATGTAAATGGATGGCAACTCTGTGGAAAAGCACTTGGGAGTCTTGGTAGAACACAGACTCACTATAAGTCTGCAGTGTGATGCAGCTGCACAAAAGGCCAATGCAGTTTTGGGCTGCATCAATAGAAGCATTAATTCAGCTCCTGAAGGTTCAAGACATGGGAGGTGATAGTGCTTCTCTACTTGGCACTGGCTAGGTCTCATCTGGAGTATTGTGTGCAGTTCTGGGTTCCACATTTTAAAAAAGACAATGAAAAGTTAGAGAGGATCCAGAAGAGGGCAACAAAGATGATTAAGAGCTTGCCGTAAGAGAAATGGCTGAAGGAGCAAGGCGTGCTCAGTTTGCAGAAAAGGTGCTTGAGAAGGGACATGATAGCAGTCTTCAAATACTTGATGGGCAAGTATAAAGAAGAGGGAAAGCACTTTTTCTGTCTTGCCGCAGAGAGGAGGATGAAGATCAATGGCTTGAAGTTGCAGCAAAATAAATTTAGACTGCATACTGGAAAACAACTTCTTTACTGTGAGAATAGTGAGGCAGTAGAATAGACTGCCTGGGAAAGTTGTGGTCTCTCCATAACTGAAGGTGTTCAAGAAGAGGTTGAACAGCCACTGGTTGGGAATAAACCAGGCATAGCTATGCCTATGCTCTACCTTGGATATTTCCCAGGCTTCTGGGCTTTGCTCCCACCTTCTTCACCGTTTTTCTGCTATATGTATCAGAGTGTTTTTAAGCCTCCCCAGAGGCACTGGGTGTTGGCTAGAGCTAAGGCTAGAGGCTTCAGCTGGGATGTGCTGATTCTCTTGTTAGGAACAAAGCTAGAGGCTCCTGGCTAGAGGGTCTTGCTCCACTGCGCAGGGTCAAACCAATCACCATATTTGGGTTCAGGAAGGAATTTTACTCCATGATCAATTGGTATGTGGGGGTTTTTGCCTTCCTTTGGAGTGTGGGGCATGGCCCTGTGTCTGGGACCTCTTGAGTGTATATTGACAACATTGAATAGAAGCAAGACTTTGGCTGCTGGGGCTCCCCTGCTTTACCTGTGGCAGATTAGGGTGTTAGGTCTCTGTTGTGCCAGGGCTGATGGTAGTCTTATGCATAGTTTAGATCAGGGGTCAGCAACCTATGGCATGCATGCCAAAGGTGGCACGCAATATGATTTTAATTGGCATGTGCACCGCTCCCCCTGCCTAGGCGGGAAAGTACTGCCTCCCTGCCCCGGCCCCAGCAGGTGCAGCGTCAGCCCCAACCACCTCCCCACCTTATCCCCAGCCCTGGTGGGCACAACGCCGCCCCAGCTACCTCCCTGCCCCAGCCCCAGCGGGCGCTGAGCCAGCCCCAGCCACCTCCCCACCCCAGTCCCAACAGGTGCAGTGCCGGCCCCGGCCCTGGCCCCAGCGGGTGCAGTGCTGGCCCCAGCTACCTCCCCACCCCACCCCCCAGGTGAGAAGTAAAGGGGATGCTAGTGCAATCTTGCTACCCATTTGTCCACTATACAGACAACTTCACCTCAACTTCTGCTTTTATACAAAATGTAACTGTTTTTCAAATGTCAAGAGAGACAGCTCTCCTTAATATCTAAGCTGCCTCCCCACCCCTGCACCACCTGTCTGTCATGATTTTTTTTCACTGTAAATTGAAGGGTACATTTGACAAAATGTCACCTCCTAAGAAAGCAAAGTTAGATGTCCATGCATTTCAATACTATAGGTATGTTCATTTCAACTTCAGCATTTTCGAATTTGTCCTTCACTTCTAGGTGCTCGGGGGGAAAGGGGTCACAGGGAGAAGCACTGGGAAGGGAGGAAGACAAAGGGCAAGGGGGCTACCTGACCCCGCAGAGTTATTTTCTTTGCTGTAGCAGTGTGTGTGTGTGGGGGAGGGGGATGGGGACACTTTCAAGGTAAACTCCCAATAATGAGATTCTATACCTGGAAAAGTATAACAAATATATACATTTTCCACATACAGAGTCTAATTTATGGGGTCTTATATTTGAATAAATATGGTAGTTTCCCCATAGCAGAAAGTTGATGAGCCTGACACAGAAATATGAACAAGCTTTGTTGTTCAAATAAAAATGTATTTCCCTCAAATAAACAGCAAAACTGATGAATATAACAACATTCCCCTTTTTATTCAGGAGAGTTTGATTTTGCTTTCAGACAGATATTTATACTATAATAATGTAAATTTGTTTAAAAGGAAAAATGTTTCATGTGCTTTGCAGACTTGAAAGGATGACACCACAAAGGAATGTCCTGCAAGAAAAAGAAGTTATCACCATTGCTCTAACTCAGTTCTTCCAGGAAAACTAATACAATGAGGCTAAAGGGGAGAAAATTTTCCTGAGTCATCCTTTTCAAGATTTCTCTGTTAACCTGCCTGAGAGTGGTTCCATCACAAAACAACACCTGCCACCAAATTCCATGGAACTCCAGGATCTGCATAAATCCCAAGGAATCAAGATGTTCATGTCTATTCAGAGGCATGGTACTGCTTTCAACTTAGTTCTGCATCTCTGCATCCCATGGAGTTATACAGACAGGGCTTCTGAAGCTAGAAGCAATTTCCAGATGCCATTTAAAACTGTGTTTTCACTGTGGAACCAGGGTCTTAAATGTCATAGGGGCCAAAGCTGAAATATATGTGGAGCAGATGCAAATGGGGGTTGGGAAGCACAGTTGGACTTGGCCAGAGGGTTTCTTCTGCTGGGTAATAGGTACAGAAGTGGGAGTGGGAGTGGGTTGAGCCGCAGTTTTCAATTCTGGGGAGTCTACTTTTGTTTCTTATCTCTGGTTCCTTTTCTCAGCACCACAGGGCTGGTGGATCCTTTTGGCCTCAGCTTACCTATTTCATCCTGCATCCCCACATGAGGATTCTTGCACCTAACATCCAGAACCCAGGCACTGGATTTTGTCATTCCTGCCCTACCATGACCCCACTCCC